ATGATAAAAAAAACATTACTCTTTAACGACTTTGTAGGTCTCCACTTCCAATTATTAACACGTCATAAGAGAGATCGTGGCATTGAACTTCCAGGGGCGGATCTAGCTTTTTGCTAAGGGGGGGGGGTTGACCAAAATAATGACGATGCGGAGCATCGTCCACGAGCCGCAAAGCGGCGAGCCGATTTTTTTTTTTTGGGGGGGTTTATTTGAACCCCGTAAGTGATGTTTTCCTGGCATCTATTAACACAATGGAGACCATAAAAAGCAGTGCATGATAACGTCTTTTTAAATCAAGTAACAGTTAAATACACAGTTATATCCAGAGTTATCATGTGTTTGGTTAAGTTACCAGATGAGTTGAATATCTTCTCACAATATTTGCACTTGAAAGGGTTTCTCTCCAGCGTGCGTTCTTTTTTCTTTCTTTTTTTTTCTTTTTTTCCCCCCTTTTTTTTTGTTTGTTTTTTTGGGCCGCCCAAGGGGGGGGGGGGGTTTAAACCCCCTAAACCCCCCCGTAGATCCGCGCCTGGCAAGGGACTCTGTGACATTTGTTCGCCCAACCCCCCCCCCCCCTCCCCCAAAAAGAAATAATAATAATAATAATAATAATAATAATAATAATAATAATAATAATAATAATAATAATAATAAATGAAATAAATACATAGATATAGAATAAAATAAAATTACAAGTTTTAAAAAAAAGATAAGATTTAAAAAAATGGTCCCCGGATTTTTTTTTTGGGGGGGGGTTGCAACCCCCCCCAACCCCCCCTCTAGATCCGCTTCTGACTTCTTTACCTGATGCTAAGGAATATTTGATCTTTAATATTTGTGCTTGTTTTTCTTATTTCAGTTTCATACACTTCTTTGATATACCTTTCTAACCCATTTGATTGTTAACTATAGTATTACTTCATTTCCTCTTTCAGTTCATGTTCAATCACCATATCTGTGACCATATCTGAGTGTGACCATGTAATGTGAATTTTTCACACAATTCATTTTTGTTTGAATTAGTATACTGGTGAATATTAGATCTCTATCTTGTTTCTGTTCTTCTTTAAACAAATAAACAGAATTGGACTGAAAGTTAATCAACACAATATACTTCCAACTGTGCAAATATAGGTTTCCTGGAACAATCGTTTTGTACCTTTGCGAGTATGCCACACAGGCAGTGCCAGTTCGAAAACTGTGAAAATTGAGGGGGCGCCTTACCACCTATAAAACCTAAATACATGTATGTACAAATATTTGGAGTTGCTCAAAAGTAGAAGGTTGATTGTTTGATCCCTTTTTATCTGCCATTGTCACAGATATTGTTTGTTTTGTTTTATTTGTTTTTAGCATTTCATGCATGCCCTCTTACATGTTTTTAGTATGTTATGGCCGCTGTCCCATGACACATGTTTATGTATATGTAAATGTGAAATGGCTAAGGCTAGGTTCCTTATTGAACACTTTTTTCTATTCTAACTTTCTACTGCACAGGGTTTATCTCTAGCTTGCAGCTCTGAATTTCGAATTTTTGAATGTTGACGACTCATTTGTCTCTCTTACCACAGGCAGTCACTGTTCTTGATATCCTGTACTCTACCTCTACCTCATCTCTTCCCTCCCAGAGCTCCTCGTTTTCTGTCACCTTCTCTTTTCTCCCTCCTTCTCTTTCTCCCTCACATTTCCTTTCTGTTCTACTCCATTCGACTCCTCCCTCTCTCTCTCTCTCTCTCTCTTTCTCTCATTTGTTCTTCTCTCTCTCTCCTCATACCCCTTTCTGGGAGAGAAGGGTGAATGTCTCAGAGCACTTTTAAATTCATTTATTCAATGCATTCTGTGCACTATCAAGATTCATTTTTAAATGTCAGTTTTCAAGTTTATATGTCAGCTTTGTTAATGCTATTATTGCTATTATTATTGTTATTATTATTATTGTTGTTTTTTCTTTGTATCGGTATCCTCGAATGTATTTATATATTGTTTATGTTGTTTGTATACATGTATGTACGTCACTCGCCAGTGGAGGACGAATTTCTGTATTTTTTTTAAATCAGACAATAAATTATCTTGAATCTTGAATCTTGAATTGTCTGTTGATATGGACAGTTGCTTTTAAACTCTATGTACATTTCTATTCATATTAAATGCCCTTTTGGCTCTCAGCAGATTTTTTTTTTTAATTTTTAATTTTTAATTTTTTTCGGGGGGGGGGGGGGGACTTGGCCTTCACCTGCTGTAAAGATGATGTTTTAGAACAATGATTATCTAAACATATTCTTTGTCTATTCATTGACAAACTGAGCAGGGAGTACTATACTACTATTTCCCTCTAATTGTCAGAAATTGCTGAGAATTCCACCTCTGTGTTCATTTAACTAGAAAGAATCAAGAATTATCTCATCTATGTTTTCACCAAAGTTTACAAGATTGAATGGAAGGAATTGGATGAAATAATTAAGTCTTCAATTCAACAGTAGTTTGATCCTGGCAAATTGTGGCTGCTTTTGAAACTTAATTTTCCTTCTATTCCTAAAATAAGGCTAATCTCCTGTATGAAAAGGCAGAGAATGATCTCCAAGAATCCACAAGTAGTTCCTTGTAAATAGGCCTTACTTCATCAGCTTGAGTTTGCCAAATAACATGCTATTTTCAGACTCGGGATATTAATCCGAAGCTTGAAATTGCGTCTTCACCAGACCGATACACTTATCACAAACTAGCGCGGACAGGCACAATTTAGCCCGCTATATTTCCCAAATAGCGGGATATTTTGGAAAAAAGACCAAGATTTCTTGGGATATTTCTTGATCAAATATCCTGCTAATTGCAACTGCGGGCTGATGAAGACGCAAATTAGCTAGATATTTTGTGATTGGGATAGTTAAAAAAGTAAGGTTATTTGGCAAACTCGAGCTGATGAAGACGGGCCTAATGAAAGGATCCAACCTTGAGCTGTGGTCCGCTGCACAACAAGGCGGGGGACAATCAAGACCATTCAGTAATCTCTGCTTGCTACTGTCTAATTATTCTTGTATAATCTGGAAAATAAGTGACAAGTTGAATGGCCTTGCTTGGTAATTAATGCATCCAACAATCGTCAGAGCTGTCCAATAAGGCTTCAGTTGCTGCGTTGTTTCCGTGAATAGATAAACCCATCGTGCCTCTCATTTCCTCTCTGAAAGTATGTGGCTAGGGTTTGGGAAAATGTATGGCCAAATTTGACTGAATTAATGTAGGGACTTGTGCGGGATGCGACTCTGTCACAATGACCAAATTGTTTTTGACAGTTTCGTCTTGTTTTTCAAAATCCATTATTCCATATCAAAGTTCATGGTCAATTTATTGACTGGAGAAGTGGAGATGCAAAGATGTGTTTAAGCTTTGGCACAGTACGCATTTCCTATATGGGATAGATAGTATGATGTGCCATCAATGATTTCCAACAAATTTGAGGGTAATCATTTGAAACAACATCAAATTAATAATTTTAATAATATTGGATATTTTAATAACGCATATATCCACCACGCAAGATGCTCAAAGCACTCCAATATTACCCTGGCTCTGCTAGGCTACAGTTTCCGGTACTTATACAGCATTCAAGGAATTCTTTCCTACAGGTATCCATTTAACACTTGGGTGGGGAGTGGTAAATGCAGATTAGTGTCTTGCCAAAGACACAGGACTCAAATTGATGTAAACAATGTGATCCACACTCCAATGACATATCCGCTAGACCACGACACCTCTATTGTTATTAAAAAATTATATTTCCCCAGGGATCCTAGTCTTTGTGCAGTCAGATGAATATTAATTTCTTTATAAATGCCACTACTATTATGGATGGTAACAATACCAACATTTCTCCACACCCACTTCTACTCCTCCTTCTCTTCCTCCTTTTCCTTCTACTCCAGTTCACTTCACTTCAGTTCAGTTTATTCAATACTTCATTAAAAATATACAAAGGTAAACAAACATATAAAAATTAAAAATTAATATTGATATATAGCATGGGAATGACATAAACAGAGAAGACGATATAAACAAGAAAAAGATTTGAATATATACATTAATGAAAGTATTTGAAGACAAGACAGATAGACTGGGATATAATTTGTATCATTTTCTTCTTTAACCAAAAAAAAGCATGTTCCTTTTTAAGTTGTAACTTAATTCAAACTCTCAAATTCTCATAATTTAACTTCTTTACTATATTGGTCCGATTCATTTTGCCATTCTGTTTCTTTTATTTTTCTGCTTTCATACAAATCAACTTTTACAAGGGTTGGATTGCCCTTTAAGTATGATTATATAATAAAGTTACTTGAAATTTGTAATTTTCCTTCAAAACGAAGTCTAATTTGGTGACTGAAATTATTATTTTCATATGTAACTTTCATGTTTCCAACAAAAGATGGCAGCAGAGGGAGATGACAGGAGACATGTTCATGTCTCCTCAAGAAGATATAACCTACTGATTGAACAAGAATTTAAAATGAAAGTCCTGTCTTTCTATTGATAAGCATCCAAAGTTAGTCCTGCCTACTTTGAAGGAAACCTTAACTTAGTCTTGTTAAAGGTAAAGACCAGTTATGGTCATGCGATTGCATTGTGAAAGAAACGTTGTGGAATCGATCAAAAAAGGTTGATCATCTAGCATCTAGCATCTGCAAGGTTCTGGAATCATCAAAATGATAAGAAATTTGGCCCATTCTTATTATAGTTACAAGCACTATACACAGAAAGATGTATATGGGACTACCCTATATCTCTCACAGACCATGAGAGAAACAAATTTACCAAATATATGAATTAGTAGGCAGTTTCCCGGCAAATTTTTTATCATCATGTATTAGTCAAAACATATTCTTTCACATGATTGGTAATGAGAGCTTCCATTTCATTTTTTGAAATTGGGGCGTTTTCAATACTGGTCTTTACCTTTAACCTCTTTACCAAAAAATTATCAATAATTGTAATCTTTCCCTTGATAGGTGCTGAAGAAGATGGTATAGCGATTATCAAAACTGGTGAGGTGCTAGTCCTGGACTGCTTTGTGGAAGGCCCGGATGGAGAACAAGACCATGAAGTCGTCTGGTTACTGAACGGTAACCAGGTGTCCAACGCTTCTAGACTAGTCCTGGAAGACCTGGACCATACTTATCACGGCAGCAACATAACATGCTACAATGGAACAGCTCTGGTGCAATCCAGGATCATACATTTTCATCATGGTAAGAATTTAAGAAAGATTTTCACCCGGCCTAGGAACCCATTCAGGACACTGAGAGAGTTCTGAGGGAGTGCTAAATATATCATCTTTTCCACTATACACTGGACACTAGTGTCTTCCCTTTCTTCAAATTTTTAGAAAATAATATAGTCATGCATTTGAAAAGAAGATACATAGACCAATCATGTTGTAAAGATAAGAAAATTACTTATTTCTATGAGTTGAAAGAGAGAAGAAAATTAGATTTCTGAAATGATGAAGGAATTACCTGATATCCTGCAAGTATTGTTTAAAAATAACTGACCTTAAGTCAGGAACTGAAACTCCTTGCTCAAGATTTCTTGATTTTGTTTTCTTCTGGTTTCAACAGAAGATGTCCTAGAAGTAGGTGAGACATTGAGACTGAACTGCACAACGTATCCCACCACTGCCTCCAATGTAACATGGCACCATAGCAACAAGATGGTTACATCAGACTGGGTTATCACTGACCTTGATAATGGCACATCGCAGCTGAAGATACCCAATGTGATGCTTGATGATAGTGGGGTTTACTCCTGCATGTCTCCACAAGGTGCTACCATCAAGGTCTTCAATGTCTCAATAGGATGTGAGTACACGATATAATGTCAAGGGATATCCTCAAGAGGCACTTGTTGCCTTGCACTATAATCATAATAATGATAATAATAAAAACAGTGCTTTTAAAGCGCTTTCCATCAAAGTCTCTAAGCACTACAACATACAAAATACAATGAAAAACAATAATATCTAAAACAAAACAAAAAATTACAAATAAACCTACAAATTACAATACATATGAAATATAATAATAATAATTATGATAATATTCCGCTTACATAGGGCTTACATACTATTACCCCCGTCATTGGATTCAGTGCTTGCTTGCACACACTGTGTGCACAATCTCAACTCCCTGGAGAGCATTCCAGCCAGGCGTTACTTGACGCTCAAAAACTGTTTGACCAACAATGACGGTCGCATCCTACCGGGTACCCATGTAATATCTGGATGGGGAGTAGCAAGTGCAGGTTAATATCTTGCCAAAAGATATTAGTGCCGTGTCAGGATTCGAACCCTCGACCTTCGAATGTCCAGTCAAGGGCCTTAAACCACTCAGCCATGACACTCCCAGACAATAATATACAATAATGTTGAAGCGTTGAACAATAGGGGATAGAGCAACGTCGATCTGGCGGTGCTCAGTGGCTGCCGGGCTCACGATCAATTGGGCAAAAATAATTTCCATTTTCGGTTTAACTTAATAAAATTTGGACTTTACTTTAAAAGATTATTATTATTATTATACAGCTCCCTCTTGGGCAGTAACTCACCAGGGAAATGGTTTGTCCTGACAACAAACCCTGGGACAAACACTCACCTCAGATAGTTACCCTTTTCAAAATGTTACAACTTGAACAACCGTCACCAGCACAATAATGGAACAATTAGGAATAATTCACCAAGGTACTTGTACTATCTATTGATTTGAGTTGGATGGTTATTGCTAGGGGTAAGCTAGCTGTAGCCTGTATGGTTATAAAATGTCCAATATAAAGTTATTGTCATGAGTTGGAGATTGTCCATATAAGTTGTCCTTTGGTGATAGTCCAGAGTTATACTGTCTGTTGTTCTGTAAGTTGCTCTTTTGTTGGAATATTGTCCAAGTACATCTTGTTGGCTTATTTGGTAGCGACATGTACTTCACGTGCAACTTACTATATCTGTGTTTTGAAGTACTTTGAAACATTTGAAATGATTGCATCAAAATTTGCCAATATGTGCATGCGAGAAACAATAGGCGTGCCAACGATTAAATGCTTTCAATGGCTATAAGGATTAATTTTGCATGTGTTTGAAAAATAGTTTTTAGGTAGGCATCAATACATACATGTAGAAGTACGCAAACATGTGCCTCAATATGGACACATGAGCATGTGTTTGAGAGATTGTTTTAAGTTCTAAGTTCTTCAAATTGTATAAACTTTATTTGCCTGTGCATCAATATAGACACCTACGTCGGGGAGAGTAATTGTTTTAAGCACTTAGTTCTTCAAATAGGATAAACTTTATCCGTAAGGTGTGCATGTTGACATAATTTTAAATGATTTTGGACATGGCGCATGTCAGTGGATATCATACCTAATGTCATTTTCTGACTTTTCCAGCCCACCTGTACCTGTCCAAGTGCTCATCTCTAGTTCATATTTCTGTTTCTTCTATGCAGTATTTCCACAAGCGCCAGAAGTTGACTGTTTTGGATGCAATACTGTGGACTTCACTTGTGAATGGAAGGACATTTCTGATACTCATTTACCAACTGATGTCACCTATGAATACAAAGAGTACGGGTAAGCACAAGTCAGAGATGTACAATGTAACTAGAAATTCTTAGCCAATTATTTCAGTTCTAATTCTCATGCATGCTAATTTTGATATTTGGTGAATCCAATAAAATAATATAGGTAGTACACAATAAAAGATAGGGCCTAGTCTTGTGTAGGTGATTTTTTTGTTGTCAATCCTATGCTGTGGCATAGTACTAGAAGGCCATCTACATGGAAAGAAGTTGAGGGGAAGACCTCCTAAAGGCTTTCTAGATGATTTAATTGCGGAATGTGGAGCAACGGGGTATGAAATGCTGAAACGGATGGCTAAAGACCGAAGTACTTGGAGAGACACTTGAAGTAGAACTCTGATTGGGTCACTGAACCTGTCATAAACTGACAGATCACTATTGATGATCCTACAATTCTTTTTCTATTTGTTCTTTTTGTTTTGTTCTAGATTTCAAAAATCCTGGACCGAGTGCCCAGGTTATCGTGAGTATGGATGTCACTTCGAAGGAAAGGATGCGTCAACATTCAGACTCAACATCACCAATGCACTAGGGACACTCAGTGTTGATGTTCCGGAGTACAGCCCTCTCGATCATTGTAAGTGAGAATGCACCCTTGGTGTAAAGGGTTATGATAGGCCTGTCTTTATCAGCTCGAGTTTGCCAAATAACCCACTATTTTAACTATCGCAATCACAAACTAACCAGTTAATTTGCGTTTTCATCAGCCCGCAGATGCAATTAGCGGGATATTTGGTCGCGGGATATTTGGTCGAGAAAATATCCCGAGAAATCTTGGTCTTGTTTCCAAAATATCCTGCTATTGGGGAAATAGCAGGCTAATTTGTGCCCGTCCGAGCTAGTTTGTGTTGAGCGTATCGCTCTGGTGAAGACGCAATTTCGAGCTTCGGGATAATATCCAGAGTCTGAAAATAGTGGTTTATTTGGTAAACTCGAGCTGATGAAAACAGACTTATTGATAATAATAATAGTGGAGTCTTGTATAGGGTACAAGTCTGGCACATTGCCACTCCAGTCGCTCCATTATTATTACTTCGGCTTTAGCATTAGCCATTACAATTGCTCCAATGCAGACCCATTTTGGTTGCCTTTTCATGTGGCTCGTAGTAAGGCAGGAGATCGCACATTCACTGTTGCAGCAGCTAAGGATTGCAATAAACTTTCCTCCAGTATAAAAGCTGCTTCATCAGTGGATGTTTTTAAGAAACTCCTTAAAAACCTACTTATTTTCTACTTGATTCGCTATTATTTTTTTGTTTGTTTAACGTTATGTTAAGATTTGTGGTTATATTGTTATATTGCATATTATTGTAAGCGCTGTGATATAGTGTACTACGAATAGCGTAGCTAAATGCCTATAATATTAATAATAATAATAATAATACAATCAGTGTGGTCTCAAACTATGTGGCATGTCCCGGTGAAGGCTCGTGCTTTAGTGTATAGATGGCTCATGCGAGATGCTTTCGTGATCTCAGTCCTTGCTTGAAATCTTTTCGCCTGCTGTTAGATACACGATCAATGAGTGGTTCGCAACAAAAATAAACCCCCTGTGAAAATAACTGCGAATACAGGAATGGGATATCATAAATATTTTGTTTTTCCCTTTTGTCTGGTAGTTACTGCCCCTGCGCCTAACATCACAAGTGTTGTTCCTGTATCCTCCCATACAATGGATATCCGATGGACGCTCTCTGGTTGTAACCTATACATTCAGCATTTTAAGTACAAGTTGACATATCAAGATCGCTCCACAGGGGAGGAGCTAACGGTGAGTTAGAAATTATTTCTATGTTATCAAGAATTATATACTAGTCACCGTGACACAGGAGGATGAGATAAAAAGCAATGTTGCAACAACAAAATTAGGATAATTAAAGTCATTTTGTTTTAATAAAGTTGAGTTCTGGTCATGCAATGGCATTGTGAAAGAAACTGTGTGGGAGTGGTTGGTAAAGGTTGATCATGTAGCACATAAGTGCCGGTATTTGTGAGGATTTGGAATCATCAATATGATAAGAAATTTGCCCAGTCTTGCTAAAAGTTACATGCACCGTACACAGAAATGTGTATATCGGACCGTGCTCGGAGTTAGGCTAGAGAGAAAAGCTTTAAAGCTTATCTGCCATAGTTTTACAGGAGGGATTAGACCGCCCTGCAAGGTCACTGGACAGGTGGTTATCTCATCAACTCAGCTCTCAGTTAAGAAAAAGAGGATCATGGGGGACCAATGGTCACCAATTATGCATTGTTTGTTGTATAGAGGGCGCAAGTAGCTACAAGTAGTGCAGTGGGCCTTTAAACAGAACCCGACAAGAAAATTTGCAGTATTTTTTCTGGTATTCCTTAACGGGACTGGAACCTAGCTAAAAGAAACTTGAATAGTTTTGACCTACAATGTACGGTATATGATGCCATCTTTTATGAGCCCTGTCTAGACCGTTCCTACTAAGACTTTAGGAGCATGCGCTGAACACAAGAATCCAGCGCTTCAATTGTGTTATTATTCAAGACGGCCAATTCACTTACCGGTACCTGTCTCAATTCTTAAGGATAAAGTTAGATAAAGAAGTGATTTGTTATGTTATCCTTCTTAAAGGTATAATGCAAAGTTTTGGGAAATTTTGAAAATTGGATAGATAGTAATTCTTTAAAATGCTGATATATTTGGATGCCCCTGTGGATGTATTATAAGCACTAGAAAATGTAGCCCCTAAAACACTTCTACTTTTGAGAAATTAATCAAAAATTTACCGAATCTCCCAGTAAATTTCAAATATTTTAAATAGCACCTAAGGCCATTCCATGGTAGCTGCGACCATGAAAATCTCAGATTATGCAGTTCTGATATAATTTCCAAACGGGCATAGCAAATCGGTCGATTGTAGTCAAGAAACATTGTTTAACAGTAATATCAGTCTTGAGAGGGAGCTATACAACCTAAAGAGTTTATTATTTACAATTTCATCACTTTAGACTCGATTTCAAGGGCGACAACGATCCCTGAATATTGTAGGACTGCGTCCAATATGTTCATTTGAACCAAATTCATGACCCCATACCAAAACTTTGTATTACCTTTAACTCTGATTTACTTGCATACCTCAATTCTTCAGGATAACATGATGCATGTATACTGTATGTTATTTGTAATGACTGGCTTAATTAAATCAATAAAATTGAAAATTGGATATCATACTAGCATGTGTAAAAGTGGTTTAACCCAAATATGATATGATTTCTCCTACAGCCGGTTATTATAAAGTATGACAGGCAGCATGCTTTAATTCTGGAAAATGCCAATACAGAATACTGTTTTCAAATGACAGCTCGTAAAAGTTCGTCTGACTGGGGGCTGTCATCTAAGGAAGTGTGCCGTAGAACTCTACCAACAGGTTAGTTTTTGTTATCTCTCTTATTTTGATAAAGGTCGGTGGAGGAGGCGATGTGATGCAATCAGATCCCCTATGTTCTGAATGCCGGAACCGGGTTCAGTGCAAGACACTACCGATATGTTCATTTGACTAGGAGAGTCGCGCCCTATGCGGGTAAACCATCTAAAAAACAAAACACTGAAAATGAAATATAATAATAAATGAATTAACAGTATTAATGTAGAGTGTGCATCAAATTCCTATACCCTATAACGTACAAATAGGTACATGGAATTATGTTTATGGTATATAGGCCTGTGTAGGCATGCTGTTTATTTACAAATTTTATGGGCCTACATGGTTTTTATTTTTCTGGCATGTTTTATTTTCCCCTCGTCGACAAAGTGGGAGGGAATTTAGTAACGCCGCCGACCTTCCGTCCGTTCGTAATGAATCTGGTTTCCGTTCGATCACTTTAGTAATGTTTGACAGATTTTGATGAAATTTGGTATGAAGGTACATGGTATCAAAATACAGCCAAAGTTCGATTTTGGTCAAAGGTCATAGCTCATTAAATATGCATTTCCATTTTTTCAGTGTTCTTTAATTTTGTCACCTTCTCACATGCTTTAATCTTCTACTGCAAATCCCTGATTTTATTCACATTCTTTTTTTAAATCCTCATACCAATTACAATAAAGTTTATTTTCAGATCTTCTCATGGGTCATTCTATAAAGTTGTAAACTTTTTGTACATCCAATCCCCAGGTATTAATAACTTCCCTGCCTAGTAATGTAACAGTATAGTCTAATGGAGGTAACTTATGTCGTATATAGGCCATATGTACCTGGCGAGAGGGTGCTACGCGTTGCATTGACTTGTTTGTTAGGTAGTGTACCATGCAGTGTTAAGCAAGGCTTTACCAGAAGCCTGAAGTTATCTGAAGTTCAAGTTAGTATATAACCTTGTAGGTGTAGCCTAAGGGGGTGATGTGATGGTTGCCCCTCAAATGAATCAGAAAGGAGAAATATGAAGAAAATGCCCCTCCCTTCCTCCACTTTTTTCTCTTTTTTCAGGTGGGGGGAGGGGGGGGGGGGGAGGGGGGGGGGTCATATCCAGTTGGCTTTTGACTGCAGCATCGTGTGGATGAAGTAGTAGATCATGTAGTCATAGGAGAAGGTGCAGATTTTTCTATCAGAGCTGTATTTCAAAATGTTGATCCTTATTCTCCATCTCTGCATTGATTGCTAGTGCCCAACGTAGGCTTTGAGGGAACAGACTACACCACTATTCAAAGTGAAGAGAGAGAGGATGAGAGAGATATTATACTAACATGGAAGGTAAGATCCGAGATCTGTTGTTGTTGTTTTATTTTTATTTTTGCAATAAGTACAAAATAATAATTTTGAGTACTGGTCTTGCTATGTATATTGTAGAACAAATTTTCTTGAAGCTGTTACAAAGAGTTTAGTTGATTATGTAGTAAATGGGAACAATTGTGATCATCAAAGTTTCCACAAATTGAATAAATTGTGCCGAAAGTCTCAACAAATGAAAAACAGAGGACACAGCTATGAGTACATTTGTCTCCAAGAAACATGTGGCATATCAGACTTTCTACTTCTACTTCTATAGTAATACTCATCAACGCCTGTTCAGCATCTAGATGAGGGTAAAGCATAGAGTTGTTATATACACCGATTCGGGCGACTTCTGGTGGAAGTGCGCCCTCATAAGGTGACGCCATAACTGGGGGGCGTCTGACTGCAGCTAGCTAGCTTACATTGCAACGGGTATGCTATACCTATACCGAACCTCGCCCAGGCCGGCCAGGGTCGCTGCTCCGCTAGCTAGTAACCGCTCTCGAGCTCTCTGTACTGTCAGCTGGATCGGAGAAGCCCCCCAGTTATAGCGCCGCCACCGGCGGGCAGGTACATAAAACCCCCAAACCGAATCGGTGTATACAGCTCTATGCGGTACAGTTCCTAAAAAGGGAACTAAATTGTTTCAAGAGCCACCTTGAACTGCTCCAAAGAAGGCAGTTCGACGATGATCTGAGGTAGCTCGTCCCAGTCCTTAAGTTTCCTGGGGAAATAACTAAATTTGTAAGTGTCCATTGAAGAGCCTAGTCTCATATATCGTTGTTGTTGACTCTTCTTTGTTAACTGTTCCGTCGGTTTGATAGAGAGGGGGAGAGAGAGGGGAGAGATTACTTTATTCCAAATTGTTTACTATTTCTATTCCTATTTTAAATATGAGAGCATTTCTGGAATCATCCTTTACCGTGGACTTCTCTTTTCTGATACTCTTCCAAAATGTCTTTATTAATAGTTGAGTGGTTTAAACTGTGGACTGGGAATTATGCAAAGGTTGTAGATTTGATTGAGCCCTCGTGTGGCACTTGTGTCCTTTAGCAAGGCATGAAACTACATTTGACACTCTCTACCCAGGTAGGAAGAAATTTCATGAATGCTGTGGTCGTCTTTATGTAAAAGGCTACATCACTACTGTAGTCATCTACATTTTTTCTCCATCTCTGTCTGTCTCTCTCCTGACTCTCTCTCTCCCCCTCTCTCTCCCCCTCTCTCTCTCCCTCTCTTTCTCTCTCCTCTCTCTACTTTCTCTCTCCTCTCTCTACTTTCTCTCTCCTCTCTCTACTTTCTCTCTCCCTTTCTCTGTCTCTGTCTCTCTCTCTCTCTCTCTCTCTCTCTACTTTCTCTCTCCCTATCCCTCTCTTTCTATCTCCCTCTCTCCCACTCTCCCACTCTCTCTCCTCCCTCTCTCTCCCTCTCTTTCTCTCTCCTCTCTCTACTTTCTCTCTCCTCTCTCTACTTTCTCTCTCCTCTCTCTACTTTCTCTCTCCTCTCTCTACTTTCTCTCTCCTCTCTCTACTTTCTCTCTCCCTTTCTCTCTCTCTCTCGCTCCCACTCTCCCACTCTCTCTCCCACTCTCTCTTTCAAGGAAGAAGCATGTGTTATAGAATCTGCTGAGAAGGGCCACATGGAGGCCACTCTAACTTGTACGTTTCCTTGAAGGAGTTCATTAGACAAGTGTGACTGTGTCTGACCATTTTAAAGTTGAATACATCCCTGTGTCTTTCATGCTTTCTTCAATCTTTACTCTCTCACTGATTTTATTCACAGCTGATTAAAACTGACAGTAAACCATTCCAGGGAGTTAGTCGCTTCGAGTTAGAAGTGAGACGAGACCGAAAAACCATCGACGACGGGACAGAGGGCAACACTACGATCATCTATGATCTTGAGGGTCGTAATGATTACAGTCTGGATCTGGACACTTTCAACCACACAATACAAGGTACAGTGAAACCTGCTTCAGTGACTATTATGCAAATAGTGAATGGTCATGAGTGCAATGGTACAAGATTTTGCACGGGGTGAAAGATAAGAGACGCTATATTCAACGAGGCGCAGCCGAGTTGAATGGAGCGTCTCATCTTTCACCATTGTGATCATATTAGTTGTGCATGCTTTGGTGTTCACTATAACAAAGTATGTGGATGGATTAAGTACAGATTTTCTCCGCCAGTGCAGTAAAATTTCACGAAGTTCAAATGATTGATATATATCTCTATTCGTTCGTTCGTGTCTCCTTAGATCAAGATAGTTATGTAAAGTTCTTTAATTAAAAGTAAATTAAATTAAATTAAGTTCTTCCATCTTTATATCTCTATTAATTGCTGCACACAAATTGCTGCGCAGTTTTGAATTGAGAAGCGGATTATATTCCATGTAATACAATACTATTCATGCCAAAATAATATGATAATATTTAGGGGCACTAGAAACAAAAAGTATCAGTACCATATTACTCTTAAAATGACAGATTTGCAAAGAAATAGACCTAAAATATAATAAGTACATCACATAAGACTATTGGGGAAAGAATTATGTTATAAAGGATCTATTTTTGTATCAAAGAAAGGGATTGAATTGATATCACGCCTTGCATCTTGCTTAACAAGTTACCATTCTGGAATGTTTGCCTATATTCAGGTCTTGCCAGGTATGAGAACTATACGATCACTCTGTTGGCAGTAAACTCAGCTGGAAGATCTAAAGCTGTAACCCTAAAAGTCGTTGCTATGGTGGTGAGCAAAGAAGGAATTTCAGGTAAGAGTATGTGTATATATACAACTTAAAGGGAAAGTCCACCCTAATCATTTAGGATTGCTTTAATAGAAGCGGAAACATGAGAGAAACAGGTCAATGGAAATTTGAGCAAATGCCAAGTAAAAATGAGAAAGTTATGAATTTTTAAAGTGTGTTCGAACAAACACAATTTGGTAATTTTCCTATGTTTATTTGGATATTGCTCAAATTTTCACAAATTTGTTTCTCTCATTTTTTTTGCTTTTATTGAAACCAAGTTAATATCAGGGTGGACTATCCCTTTAAAGTGTACCGATCACCAACACATATTTTGGTCTGTATGCTAGGAGTTCCATGTCGCTTTACTATATTCAAAATATGAACTTCAAATATTACTTCTGTAAAGAGATATTACAAATGAAAAACACTCTCAATTAGCAGAAAAGCTACATTAAAAGAGATAGACTTAAAGTCAACGCAATGTTCACAAAGAATAGGGCCAGCATCGGACCCAAGCCTTGGTAAAGGGGTTTTCTAGTATTCTTTATTTTCTTCATAACTCTATATCTGTCAGCCCATAGATTGCCAGGTTAAAAGTGTTTTGACAATCTATTTTTACATTCTTGCTGTACCCAAATTATTATTTTGTGTGCAATTTGATCTTTAGTTTGTAATATCTCTTTGGTTCTGGTGGCAAAAATGAATTTAAAATGAAACTCGTTGGAAGCAGGCATACTGTTACACGTCTATCAGCAATAAATTTGTAAGATATTTTGATGTTCTTATCTATTCATGAGTTTGCATTCCAAGAAATCTGACCTTTTTCAATGTCACTGTCGCGTGCGATATAGTACACGCTTTGATCTTTAGTACTGGTAGCTTGAATGAACTTAAAATGAAACTTGTTTGATGCAGTTATATTGTTCCACGTCTATCAACAATAAATTTGTTAGATATTTTTATTTTCCTATCTATGACCTTTGCCAATGTCATTGCCATTGTCATTGACATTGTTGAGTCATAGTCTTTGTCATTATCATTGTGTTTGTGTTTGTCTTTGTCATTACATTGTCATCCCCATTGTCATTGTCATTTTCATTGTGACTCTCATTGTCAGTGACATTAGTCATTGTCAGTTTCATTGTCAGTGTGCTTGTCTTTGTCGTTGTCATTGTCTTAAACTTTGTCAGTCCATGTAGAATTTCTGTACCCTTTAATTCATAAATTCTTGTCATTATTATTTCCCATAGTTTTGATTATTGCTGGAGTGTGTGTTCCGCTGGTCGTCCTGCTAATCTTAGCCCTTCTTGCCTTTGCGTACCAGAGACTTGAGAACAACTCAAAGGACTTACCAAAGCCTGTCTACCGTGACGTAAGTAACCTCTCGTTCAGACTTCCTACACTCATCGTTTCGCTTTACAAGAATCATATAGCTTTAATAGCTTGTACATTGTATGTTGAAACGTCATAAAATGTTTTTTGAAAATTTATTTTGGTATGCCCTTGTTTTCTGTGATGTTTGAAAGATGGAGGAAGCAAAAATGCTTCAGAAACATGCTGTAATCACTGACAATTAATTGTCCTTGTTTTCAGAAACACCACATTCAATAACTGTTTTCAGAGCTACCATGGTTGCAACCGATATTATAGGCCTTTAATACTCAGATATGACGATGCAAAACCGAAGCCTTTTATTGGTGATGACATAGAGTGACATACACGTCACATATCTGTATTTTGTAACACAGTTCTAACTCAGTTCTAACTCAGCAAATTCATGCAGGACCTTTGTTGCGTGCAATTGCAATTCATTTACACATGAATAAACCACAGCAGTTTTTTGAGGTATTTCACAGGGTCATATCTGAATGAGCCTTGATTAGGCCAGTTTGTGCCCCGGCCCCCCCACTCAGTGTTATTTAGGGTACGCATATATGCATGTTCCCTCCTTTTGAAAACACCCCCCTAAGTCCGGTGTGTACAGTCAATACGGGCCCGATTTTTGTGTACTACGAGCCAGAGTTTGATGCGTGAAAAGTACCCCTTTACAGGACATTTTGGTAACACGCATGGTATCCCTCCGTTCATGGAGTGGCATGTGCACCGTGCCATTTGAAATGATGAAAGGCACGCTCATGCAACTTTACTTTTCATCTTCTTTTCCTATAGAATGTGGGCAACGTGAAGCCGACCAATATCGAGCGTGAGGTGTTTGATGAGCTCCCATCAGTCACGAAGGAGAAGCAGAGACAACTGCTCATCAGCCTTTCCAGAGAGTCAGCAGACTCTCAGTCAGAAGACAAAGGTTACAGAACATCCAGTACCAGCACCTCTGGGGTGGAGACAGACACATCTTCCTTGGAAAGGGGGAAGGTGGAAAAAGTTCCACTTCTCAAGATGCGCGAGATGCGGAACTTAGGCGGTAGCATCGACTCAAGTCCGTATTCCCTGCTGTCTGAACTCACCCCCTCCCGGCCTCATCTTCAGATGGCGCAGGATGCTGTGGAAACAGATTTGGACTCGTTTTCGCCTCCGGGAGGACACTATTCCTCCACGGATGAGGGGACGTCGGTGGGAGGAAGCAGCTCTTACAACCAGCTCAGTTGCTTCCGGGACACGTCTCATCCAAATCCTTACTATTCAATGTTCGGGCAGGTTCCAGTGAGGTCTATTGAGCCATCGAATGACTCAGGATATGTAGCTGATGGGAGTCAACAATGCTCCAATGTTGGATATGACGATCACCTACTTCGAGCTGACGATGCGGATGACGAGTCAAGCCAGCCTTCAACCCCAGCCACTCCGAATTGTGCCTACTACTCCTCTCTTTCCGATCGTACTGACCCTGCTGGCCAAGATAGGTCCTCTGGACCCTACTGTGATCCGTACGTGATTGCAGCGGCCATGCCAAGTTCCCCACCATTGAGATTACAGTCTGTAAACCTAGCCACGATTGAAGAGAGTCCAAACCATTATGTACCCCAGGCAGCACCTAGGGTCCCAAATTCTCATAACGGCTCGCAGCCCCCCTGGAACTCTGGCTATGTGGATAACACTGACATATTTATGGGAAGGCCTTCTAGCCCACAAGATGATGCGAGTATTGACAGTAACCCCTCTTCTTCACAATCCTCCCCAGAACATGCTGTCATCATCCACACAAACACAAGAAGAAATCCTGACCCTTCTGGTGAATACATGGATAACACATACTTTTCCCATATGCCCAGTACTCCATTAAGCAACAGCAGTCTTCCAACATCAGCGGTCATTGATACTCCCATCGCCAGTCCAGTCAAGAGTAGCCCAAGAACACCTCAAAGCAATGGGTACGTTGACTGCCCACCTACCTCAAACTCGCCCAGCACCAGACCAAAAGGCAACTCTGGTTACGTCACGTGTGAGCAACTCCCGCAAGTCCAGACGTCTCTACCTCTTGAGGACACCCGCCAAGCCTCTGAACAACCCTTGCAGAGTCCTGCTCATGTTGGCACAGTCCTGCCAACTCTCTCAAGAAATGCCAGTGCATATGTGCCCATCACTCAGATGCCTGTTCCTGTACAAAGTGCTTACATCCCTGCAGACACTCCTGCTCAAAGACAGGCTTCACAGATAGATAGTGGCCCTTCTGGCATGGACACCATGTTGCCTCAGTCCTTACCTGCAGCTGATGTGAACAATGAACCTACTGATGGAGAACAGGAACCTTTGCGTGATGATCACAGGCAGGTAAATTCATCAGGGTACCAGCCACAGGAAGAAATCCCAAATACCAAGTTAGAAAGGGTACGAGAGAGTCCTACCCTGAGCAACAGCAATGAAGGACTTCAGGTCTGTGATGGCTCTGCACCTTCGCAGGTTGGTCCTAACAGACATAGATCATTACCTTGTGTTAATAATGGAGGCTATGTCAGCAAGGACATGACAAACTTCCCCTGTAGGACTGATCCTTCATTCCCAATAGAGCTGAATAACAATGGATATGTACGCATCAATTGAACAAATCGTTCCTGTTTTCACGAAGTGACGGTAGTGAGGAAAATCTGCATTCAAATTGTATGCGATTTTCATTCACTACCGTCACTTCGTGAAAATAGGGACGAAATACAGCAGTCACTTTTACTAAGTCACCAAAGAAGTGAACTGAGCAAGAAATAAATTTTGATGGATACATTCTGTTCTCAAGGATGCCTACAACAGTTACATATCTCAAGGATGGTGATGACTGTGATGACCCATGGAGGCAAAGAACTTGTTTGAGGAGAAATTGTAATATATATATATATAATCTCCCATCTGAAATGGGAGAGCCTGGAGAGGAGAAGAAATGCTGCAAGCCTCCACCTCATGTACAAGATCTAAAACGACACAGTAGCCATCAATGCACACCATTACACAGCACCCATGATTGCCAGCAACACACGACAGTATCACTCAAAGAAGTTGCTGGCTATCCCATCCCGCACCCAGCTCTACCAGAACTCATTTTTCCCTCGGACAGTAACTACGTGGAATGCACTTTCAAAGATCACCCTTGACGCTACTTCACTGGAGGTCTTCAAGGGAGCGTTTCCACCAAGCATCTAGACCAAGAACTAGATAGTTTATTCCTCAGCACTACATCCTGACTTATGGATCCTGCTGAGTATCGTCGTAGAAGTAGAAGTAGAAGTATATTCCAAGTTTATACTCATGATCAGGTCTAGCGCCATCTCTTGTTCAATGCCTTTTAAGATTCCCCAGTTTAGTTCTCGATCTATTTTAAGAAGTTTGACATTGTTGGAAATGTTTGTGTATTTGTCTGAAACTTGTGATCATTATGTAATTTACTGTAATAGCTACATGTATAGTATGTATAATCCGTAGGTGTTACAATATGTGTGTCCCAAGACATTATGGATTTGCATAAACATATACTGGTCCATACATGTCCGTTATTGTAGAATACAGGACATGGTGCAAAAAAAAACTAATGTTTAAATTATTTCCTTGTTTTATTTTGTTTATGGATTAATCAAGGCTGTCAACAGGTTCTCAAATATAGGGAACACCAAATTAGGGAGTGGAATGTTCTAGTAGGGGGCTGGCTCCCTCTCCATGTAAGGACTACTTAAATGGGGTGTTAAAGTAGGCATACATATCAATGCATTGTTGAGTAAAAAATCCCCCCCCCCCCCAAAAAGGGGGGAGAGGGACAAATGTTGTGAAGTTCTCCCTTTAAAGCAGGGGGGGGGGGGGGGGGACATGTACCCCTTGACCCCTGCTCATTAACACTCATGAGATTAGGGAAGTTTTATTTGTTTGTTCTCTTTTCTGGGGGGGGGGGGATAACAAGATAACAGGATAACAAGAAATCAATCCTAGAAAGCATTTAAATTATTATCCAAGATGTAAAATCTATATTAAATGGTCTAAAAATCAGAGATTTTAGATGGGGTTCTCTGAATAGGGTAACAAAACTACTCTTGACTTCAATCCTTTTTAGGTTACTTTTCAGAAAGTTATTTGTGCTGATGATGTACAGTACTCAATGCCATATCGGGTTACATGTATGAAAATGTCAAAATGGCAGTGGTAATAGTGGTAGTACTTTTCTCCTTCTAATTTTGATATTATCTTTACACGATGCATTATCATGCTCAAATCAAATGTCATGTATGTACAGTTTAGTATTATTATGGAATATATTGGTGTTCTGTATATTTTAATTGATATGATATATCGTTATGAACTTAATCCTACCCTTGTATGCCTTCCTTCTTTCTTTCATGTTCAGTACTGACGAAACACTTGCCTTTCTTAGATATTTATAAACAATTTCTTTACTTTGAGATGAATACTTCAGATGATCATTGACATTATATATACAAATACATATATATATATTTATTGGTTAGATTTTCAAAAGCAATTTCAGGTTACTGAAACTATGTAAAAATACACAAGGAGCTTTCGTGAAGTTACTTTCATAGCTGTTTTTGTTATTGAATTTGAGAGTATGGTTAAAAACGTTATAGTTTTCAAATGACCAATAAAATATAGATTTATTAGCATATCAATTTATTTGGAAGTTGTAAAATGAATAACTGATTATAATTACATTCCATAGTGAAGAATACTTTCAATTTTATAATGTAAGTGATTCAGTGCCCACTCACAGTTTACATAATCTTTGGGGGGGGGGGACAAAAAACAAAACAAATAGGTTGCTTTAAAGGCCCACTACACTACTTGTAGCTACTTGCGCCCTCTATATAACAAACCATGCCTAATCGGTGACCATTGGTCCCCCATGATCCTCTTTTTCTTATGTTAACTGAGAGCTGAGTTGATGAGATAACCAACTGTCCAGTGACCTTGCAGGACAGTCTAATCCCTCCTGTAAACTATGGCAGATACGCTTTAAAAATTGTATAATTTCTTGAGAGTGTTGTTGTTCTAGAATGAAGTAGGCCTTGGGGCAGAATTTGGGTTTACTCGACTATCAGATGAAATTAAAGGAAAATCTGAACTTTTTTTTTTTAAGAGATGGCATTTTAGGGGGATTTTTTTTAAAAAGAGGAATAGGTGGATTCTTGCACAAATATCTTTTTAGCAACAATCATTGTTGCTCTTACCTGTGCATGTTGATAGAAACTGAAGAAGACAATTATATTACTCTTCGTTTGTATTACCTTGAATACATAGCTCCAGCATCATTCAACTACATTTCAATTATTCATCAATTTACAACAGTGTTTATATATAATGTTCATATCAGGATGTACTAGTATTATAAAGTGTACGATTGAACACAGTGACCAAAATCTATCCATTTTTACACAAAACTTGTATACATTTATTGTTATATTAAGTGTAAGGGTATTTTACAAGGTGTTTTGAAAATTGTTTTGTGTTTCTGAGATTATGTTATTTTGTATGTGATGCAAAACAGTTTGGTTTTGGTGCACTAATTACAATTTTTGTGATTTCTCATTACATCTCATAGTTTCCTTCATTGGAATTTTATGCAATGCAAGTATTGTTCATTCTGTACCATATGTTCATCAAACTCATCATGTTAATGAATTTATACATGTACAACTCGAAGGGAGACTTGTAATATATATATTTTTAATATTTTTGTTTTACTGAAATACACCTTGCCCCTTAACATATAATTTTATTTGACAAACACCACAAGAGGCTGTTGTCTTGTTCTTTTATACTATATTTATTATACAAAAAATATACCTTGCCAAAAATGAAGACACAGGTCTACATACTTAAAAAACTTCAAATGTATGTTTAAAAAACTTTTTAATGTTAAATTAAGTATACTTTATTCTTGAATATCAGGTCCATAATTTTTTTCTTTTTCCAGAAATAACACACAGGCTGTATTTTTTAGTTAGCTCTGCACAAGATCAATTTAAAATCGTTTTGTTCAGTGTATTTCATCCTTATAGCTATTGTGATTGATTTAAACCAAACGCAACTTCAAATTGATCTCAACTGTGTACTAAAGAGATAGGAGTTGCAAGTAAATTCAAGTTGGGATTGATTCAAACCAAATGCAACTTCAAATTGATCTCAACTGTGTACTAAAGAGATGGAAGTTGCAAGTAATTTCAAGTTGGGATTGATTTGAGTCAATCGCAACTCTTTGGAAGACAGGGCCCAGAAATCCCATGACTTGCATTTCCATTTATTTCTATGTTGAGATGCAGGTTCACACTTCGTTTGTTGTCTAGAAAGATCACAGGGGTTGTATGTTTCTTTGAAATGTGACAATTAGAGCTTTGCACAGGATTATCGTTAGTCTCATCTTCATTATACCGAATAAAGACCACACAAGGGAGACAAGAAAAGTGGTCTTTGTGGGCAGGCGGTTTTTATGTACAGGTTCCTTTAGTACATGTTTCAATAAGCAACCATTTTCAAGGGAAACAAAATATGTGGTCTTTGAAGACCGGTGGTCTTTCTATACAGGTGGTCACTAAAGCAGGTTAGACTGTACTTTATAATCCTTTGTGTTGTCAATTCATATTGACTTGGGTGAATGCATGATAGTTAGAAATTTCGTGCCAAAAGTGAAACATTTTGAGGATGTTTGCAAAGATTTAAATATTAATGGATTGGAAAATGTTCTCTTTTTGTTGTTGTTGTTGAAAAAAATATTTTTTGAAAGAGACAGAAATTTATTGAAACCAGGGTCATATAGAGTGGTGAAGTGTGACGTCATAAAAAATCTGTTTTTAGAATTTCTCTTTTTTTTTTCTTCATTTTCCGAAAGAGCATACAAAATAATGTCCAAATGTCGAAAACCAATTGAATATGTTAAGTATTGGCTGAGATATGACCATCTGAATAAATAGATGTCCCATAAGAACTCAGTGTTATTTGCTCTGCCTCCTAACCATTACGAGCTAGAGCAAATAGCACTTAGTTCCTATAGGAAAGATATTTATTCAGATGGTCATATCTCAGCCAATATTTAACATATTCAATTGGTTTTTGACATTTGGACATTATTTTTGATGTTCTTTCGGAAAATGAAGACAAAATTGAGAAATTCTCAGAATAAATTTTTATGACGTCACAGTTTTGGTACTCTATTTTCTTGATATTCGCAACCATGTGAATGCGTATGTACCGTACAAAGTTGTGCAAAAGATAAGGTAATTTTTGTGAATGTGTTATGAAGGGTTGTATATCAAGCCTATTTTTGTACCTGTTTCAAATAGGGATCATATTTTGTGGAAAATGTTTGTGAAAATATGTAAAATAGGGACTCATTTTTCGAGCCCACTTATGATCATGTGCTACGCCTTTGAATTCAATAATGCATACGACTTGTAAGGCACCAAATCCACTCATAATCAACTTCAAATTCAAATTGTGAAAAAAATGAGATCACATAAAATCGAAAACCCGGCATGAGCAAAGTTTCTCTCCAGCCATTTGGTATTCAGCTCGAGCCGGGAAGAACAAGTAATCTGGAGTTACATAATGAATCATCAGATAATGTTGTACTGTGGAGCAGAGCCATGTTTCATGGACATAATGGAATAAAAACAAATGGCTTTTAAAACAATGCTTTCACTCATGGGTAACCAAAGGAGTGTTTTGAGAACACGTGTAATGTGACTGTGTTTGTTCCAGAGGGGCTTGCTCGCTATTTATAAGGGCCGCTATTTATAAAGGATCGCTATTCATTTAGTCGCGTTGGATAGCGCGAATAATGGTCCTTATGAGTAGCGGTCCTTAAGGATATCGAGCTTGACCCGTTGGAGAGGGTCACTTCATGAGCAGCAGCATCCAGTAATTGTAATCATAATTTACAAGCTGGATATGAAGTGACACCACAGATATATTCACATCTTTTTTTAATCAGAATATTAATTGGAATATTGTCAAGATTTGCTTTGAATTAAAATTTCCCAATTAATGATTTTTTCCAAAGTAATTTGTCGTACTGGCAGATAATCATTATTTTTTTCACCTGAATACTTTTCTGTACCATCATTAAATACAATATGATTGGGACAAGCAATATAAATTCCAGAATATATTTTACGATGATAAATGAAGATAGATAATTAGATATGAAATATATATGATACAAATACATGTATTTAATACTATGTCTAAAATGTTTATGAAGATGATATCTAGTAAGAGTGTAACATGGTGATATTGAATTAATGTTGAATTCGATGTCTTATAATTTGTATATAAAAGGGAAATGTTATATTTGAAACGATTGCTTTGTTTATGATTGTAACTGTTCTTGTAGAATATTGGGAATACATATATAACAGAAACAAATGAGTCGCACAAATGTTAAATATTTTGAAGATGCAAATCATTAAACAAAGTTCATTGTAACTCATGGGTATTGGCTTTATTAGTTGAACAAAATGTTTTGGACCTACACGTATAAACATAAATCCACGTAAAGGGGAGAGAGAGAGAGGGAAAGAGAGAGATGCACAGACAGGCACACAGAGAGAATGAAGCAGACAGATGGACATATAGATGAAGAGAGAATATGAGGCAGACAGATGTACAGAGAAAGAATAGGGACTTTTAGATTTGCACGACAAGAACGTGGACTGCTACTTGTGACATCCTTTTAAGGCCTGCCGGGCACTGCCAGAGCCTTAAAAAGACGTCACATTGCCTTAAAAGG